AATTCTAAAAATCAGAGCACCTCTTCTCCTCCAGAGGAATGCAGCTCTTGCCAGCAATGGAACAAAGCTGGACGGAGAATGACTTTGATGAGTTGAGAGAAGGAGGCTTAGATGATCAGTAATAACAAACTTCTCTCAGCTAAAGGAGGATGTTCGAACCCATCGCAAAGAAGCTAAAAACCTTGAAAAAAGAGTAGATGAATGGCTAACTAGAATAAGCAGTGTAGAGAAGTCCTTAAATGACCTGATGGAGCTGAAAACCATGGCACGAGAACTACGTGATGCATGCACAAGCTTCAGTAGCCGATTTGATCAACTGGAAGAAAGGGTATCAGTGATTGAAGATCAAATGAATGAAATGAAGCGAGAAGAGAAGTTTAGAGAAAAAAGAGTAAAAAGAAACGAACAAAGCCTCCAAAAATATGGGACTATGTTAAAAGACCAAATCTACGTGTGAATGGTGTAACAGCACAAATTTATGACATGAGAAGTCGTTAAGGAAAGAAGCTCTCCAAAGCACAGAAACCCATGAAGCCCACAACTGGGAGTGATGGAGAAAAGCCCACAGTAGGAGTGATGGCCATGTGGCACAGTGAAAAGATGCAGTGACCACCTGGGAAAAGCCTTGGCAGATTGTAGAGGGAAGTGGAGTAAGGTTGCAGCAGGCAGTCAGACTTCCACCTGAAGTATTCAGACCAAGCCCTAATTTCCAGGGCAAGGGGATTAAGGCCACCTAGCCAGTTCATGGCCAAGCTAAGTTTGGTTCACAAATCTTTCACTCACCAGCCCTCACTCTCATGCCCATTCCACTGCCCATATTGCCTCCCTAGCATGGACTCTGAGGTCAGAAAAGGGGAGCCAGCATTTGAAAGCAGACATTTCTAGTGCTAAATAGGACAAATGAACCAAAAGATTGGTGCATACTGAAGATTTGTCAGTATGTGAAGGCTGCAGACATAGAGAAGGAGCAGTGATACGTGTTATGAAGAAGGCACATTGAAAGACAACCTTGGGAATAAAAAGAAAAGAAACCCTGAGCGATGAATGCCACAGTTGAGGTTGGCATTTACAGTATCTTCAGGTAAATAGTCCTGAACAGAGCTGCAGAAACAGATTTTATAATCCCTCTGGTTTTGTTTTTTTCCTAACCTAAAGCATATCTAAGATATGCTCAGACATATCTAAGACTTTATCTGGTATTCTTGCTGAGGACAGATCTCTGAATCATGATGATTGATAAACACAGAAGGCAACCAAGGATGAACATTTGAACTCAATTACACTCTGACATTGGTCAGACACTTCCTCTAGGCTGTTTCAGATACTCAGTGTCCTGAAAAGAAGAAAGAGGAGGAATAAGCAGGCCCTGCTGTTGGGGACCTCACAGGCTGGCGGTTACCACCTTTTCCTTCCAGCTATTGACTGATTTATTCACTTATCAAGCTTTTACTGAATGCTCGTGAGGAATCTGCATGGCTCTTGCCTTAGGGGCAGGTGGTGCACTACGTCAGTGCTGAATAGAGAGAAATTATCTTCTCCTTGTTTGGAAATAACTCCTTTTTACTTCAAATGACTTGGTTATCTGTTGCTGCATAATAAACCACCCCCAAAACTTCTGAAAACTATCTATTATCATCTCTTATTCTGTGGGTTTACAGGGCTCACTGAGCAATTCTCACTTGGAGTCAGATGTCACTGGCTGGAATCATCTAAAGGCTCAGCTGGGCTGGATATTCAAGATGGCTCACATACATGGCTGACAATTGATGCTGGTAGTCAGCTGGGGGTGCGGCTGGGGCTGTCAACTTGAGCCCCTACATATGACCTTTCCATGTGACTTAGACTTCTCACAGCATGGCAGCTGATTATCCCCAGAGAAAGCATTCCAAGAGACCCAGGAAGAAGCCTCAAGGCTCCTTTTTACCCAGCCTTGGATGTCCCAGGAAGTCCCCATGTTTCTATTGTCTCGTCAAGTCACTAATGTCAACCCAAATACCAGAGAGGGGAATGAGATTACACCTCATGTTGTAAGGAATGGCGTGTGTGTTTTGGGAGGGAAGGCGTTGATGATCACCATTTTTGGAGAGGAGCTGTCACAATGGCCAAACTCCGGAATATCACACAGAGGAAGGCTGAGAGAAGCCCCTTCCCTTTTGGGGGTAAATATTAAGTGCAAAAATAAGCAAAATGGTTAACTAGAACTGGGCCCAAAGAGAATAGTGACAAGATCAGAGGAAGTAAGAAAGAAAGGAAGTCCCTTCTAGACCACAACTTCCATACAATCCGTGTGCAGGCTCATCTGGAGAAAGGTGCAGGTCCTACATCTGTCAAGCACGGTGTTAGGCCCTGGGAGACAAAATAGAAGGGTCTGTGTGACATGGCATCATAGAGAAAGACTGATACTTTCAAATGCATGTAGTAGATGTAGATGCACTCTGGGCTAAAAAGGGAGGAAACAGTCCACTCTGTTTGAGGTTTGTGTTTGGTATTACCAGGGAGGGGAAAGCTTTCATAAAGGTGATCTTGAGGGAAGTCCTTTGCATTGGGGTTACTTTCCCCACTCCCAAGAGTGGTCATGAGACCAGTGGCCTTCCTTGCCATACCCATGGACACTGCTGTGATTCCTGTTGCTTTGGAGATGTCAGAGAGGAATGGCCTGCAAGGCAGTCTAAACTCTTGTGAATTGACAGCTCCCCCTGCTGATCAAAAGGCTGATTGGAGCTAGGAAACAGGGATTTTGAATAATCCTTAAGTAATTCATTGACACTGGGGTTTACTAGACTACAACTCACATAATTTAGAAGTCCCATGAACACAAACCCTTGTGGTGTTCAAATGTTTTCATGAAAAGTAACCATCACCTTCTCCTACCATGGGATTGGCTGCCCAGGGCAGAGGGCAGGGGGAGGGAAGTGAAGTGGTACAGGTAAAAAATTTAGTGGTGGCACAGAGCACCCCTTTGTGGCCACCATAGCCAGAGAGACCACCATAACAAGAGTCTGAATCTTCAGCAGAGCCCCTGAGCCCTGGCTACAGCCTTCAGGCTTCTGTATCTCCATCCTAACCCCCTCACACAGATCAGCATATTGAGTATGCAGATGTGGGGCTTTCTTTATGAGCTGTGAGCTCCATGAGGTGAGAGGTCACAGACAACCTAAGCAAGACAGTATACCAAGTTCCAATCACATGTTTGGTGTGGAATGGGCATTAGATATGGGTTTGATGTTACTGAGTTGGTCTAAAAGTGCTGTGTTTTTTTGTGCATACTGAACAGAGAGTAGTCCTGTCTAGAGCTGTGGGCTGCAAGGCTCAGGAAGCATTCTGAGAGTTTCTTGCTGGGAAAGCATTATATCAGTCAGTGAGAATAGGTGCTTTTTCCATTTCTCTTTACATAGCCATCTTCTTGAGGTTGCCTAAGAGTACAGGTTCTAAAAGAGAACATAGAAACCAGTAAAATCACAAAATAGCAATTCAGGTTGAGTTTTAAAAATCATACTTTATTCATTCTCTTACAAGTGAAAGAACATTTTTTAACGACTGGGTCTTAAAGCCAGCCCTGAGGTTCTACAAACAGGATTACTCAGACCAACTGTGGAAAAAGTTACATTACTGGTATTTATTAAGCTGACTTCTTCAAAGTATTTTAGTCTCATCTTCTTGGACTGACATGAATACAAGAGGAATTTCTCAAGGACTCCTGTGGCAAGCTGGCTGAAGAAGACTTATTTTTAGCTGTGTCCTGACAGTGCTGGCATTGTACACTCAAGGGAAAGCCCCAGAGACCCTGAGTTCCAGAGACACAGAGCCTCTAGGAGCTGCAGATTGACCCCAGCTGCAGATTCAGCTGGAGCCCATGGGTTGGTTTAAACTACCCAGCTTCACTCAGATGACACCCCAGACAGGGGTTTCAACCATAAGAGCCCGGCAGAGGTTTGAGGTCCAGGTGATCCTCCTGTGATGGCTCCAATTCCCCCAGTAGTTTCTCATGGATATGCTGGTATCTGGTACAATGAGCACATTTGGAGGGCCTTCCAAATTACCCATTCCCCCAGGAAAGCCAGCAAGTTACTCTTGCTGCTTCTGTGGAAGATCTTCTCAAGGACCATGGGTTGACAAGTTCCTGGACCTATGGCTGTGGCCTGAATCCATGGGGATGAGTCACACCACATGTGGCTTGGTGTGGCCTCCATAACAGTCCCTCAGGCTAGGGAAAATCACTGCACCCCACAGGAGTAGAACATGAATCAAGTCAACTAAAGAGCCTGGGTTAAAGCCCCATAATTTCCACATTAGTTCCATGAACCCTGAGTTCACGGCAGGGCAAGTGTCACAGAGCAAAACCCCAGAGAGCAACCTGAGTGCAGAGCCCTGGCCCCCAGCCAGCCTGGTTCTAGGGCTGCAGTAGGACTGGCAGGAAGGCAGAGGCCAGGCGCTGGGTACCTAGAATTTGGAGGGGGGGAAGCCTCTGAGAAAAACCGGTAGGGAGCCAGGTGAGAACAGGGCCAGTGGTGTCAGAAGGTAAGTGTGTAAAGACACAGTATGTCAAGTAATAACAGTGTGGCTATGTTATCTGAGTGTCTCTGTCTCTGTGTGAGTGTCTCCATTGCAAGCTGGCCTGTTCCCGTGCCTGGACCCCAGGAGAGCCCAACATACAGGCCACACCCATTCCCTGATAGTGCTGGATGCAGGGAGCCCCTAGCCACCCTGCTCCAGTTCTTAACTCTCCTCACCCTCTGCTTCCTGAGCATGGTGGGGGCTGTGTCAGCAGATCTGCATCTCACCAGCCTGCCATATGTCAGCCTTGGCTGGGACATGAGGTGCAGCCACTGCCACCATCTAACAACCAGGCTCTGCTTCATTCCTCCTGTGCTTGCTGAGTTCATCCTCACCCTAACTGCAAGGGACACCTACCCTGGTTCCCTAATCCTGAGGATGCTTGACTGCTGGACCCTCCATCTGTGGCTTGTCATCTGTGCTTGATTGTTCTCACTTGGTTACAGGCTCTCCCTCTCTGCCAGATAAGTACCGCCATGCCCGTGAAATGATGTTGTTGCTGCCCACATACCGGGACCGCCCAAGCAGTGCCATGTATCCAGCAGCCATCCTGGAGAACGGACAGGTAATAGACCCACCACACTGACTGCCCTCTGCTGCAAGTGTGTTAGCCTGTGCTTCCCTCCTTGCATTTGCTGGGCCTTCTGCATTGTTCTACATGTCTCTCTCATTCCGCTGTAAGATCCCTCAAAAGGCTGCTGGGCTCCTGGATGTGGAGTGCAGTGAACCTGAGGACCAGTAATCCAGACAGAGTGTAGGCGTAAGTAGAATGGTGGCAGGAACCACCATTGGAACCAGCACTGCTCATGTAGCTATCTGTCCTTCCCGCCAGATTCCTGGACTCCTCATCCCTAAACAGTCTAGCGGAGGTCATTGGTTCTTTGCAGCCTGTCCTGAGAAGGCAGTGGTGGACACATTGGTCTGGAAGATGTTCTTCCTCCCTATTTGTGTGGCATCCTCACTGGAGCAAAGTCTGCCTCTTTTATTCATCCATCCAGCTGAAGTCCCTCACTACCTGCTGGGCTGTTCTATATGCCATTTGCACAACTCTCCAAATACACTGCCTGGGGACCTTGATCCAGAAGCTATAGGGATTAACTCCCTCCCCTGGGCAGTCTGCCCCCGCCCTTCTATCAGGGTCCATAAAAGTCACCTCTCAGTGACCATTACCTAGCCTCAGAATGCCAGGAGTTTCTTAGTGGTACCTCCCTGTGCCTGATCGGCTCTGCCAGCTAGAGGGATGAGGTTTGCTTGGCAGCTGCCCATCAAAACAGCAAGTCCTGTCTGTGACTCTAGGCTTGATGCTGTCCTTTCCTCTACCTTCGGCGCTAACACGGGCCTGTGCAGGGCCTCTCCAGGAGGCTAAACCTGTCAGTGCTCATGGGGAAGTGGGGATCTCTCTGGCCAGACAAAAGGATGCAAACAGATGCTCCCAGGTAGCTATGTTCTGTTTCTTGGGCCCTACATAAGACAGCCTGGGTCCCAGCCAGATACTGGAGGATGATATCGTAAATATTGTGTATAGAAGCAATGAGAACCAGACATCCTGGACAGTCTTTCCTGGGTCTGGCCAGGAGGTCTCAGTATATCTCAAGTGTGAGCTGTACCACTGCTTTGTTTTCCCTGTCTGATCTTGTAATGCCCTGTCTCTTGTGGCCCACAACACTGCCTCCCAAGATATAACTGGTTGTTTTCACTCTCTATAATGTTTATTTCCTTCCTTCAGCCGCCAAATTTCCAGCGAGCCCTGTTCCAGCAAGTGGTCGGAGCCTGCAAACCTTGCAGTGATCCCAATCTGTCTGTGGCTGAAAAAGGTATTGTTCCCCAGGTGGCCTTCCCCCCATGTCTGTCCCCATCCTGAGTGTCTGACTCTTGTCCCTGAGTACCAGCTGGCCAGGGCTAAGCCATACTTCAACACTCAGGTCTGTCTGTCTGTCCAGAATTCTGACCAATTCTTGTGCTCACTATTTAACCCATGTCTGGCTTGATGCTAAGGTTTATATCCTGTATCCCTCCTTCCCCAGGGCCTACCCTCAAAGAGGCCCCAGCTGTCTCCTGCCCTGAGCCCACCTTTATGGAAACTTGGGCTTGTGTGTGCAAACTGTAGACAACTACTTCCCTAGACTCCTCCCAACCACCCGCAGAATTCAGCAGGCCTTGTGGCCCCTTTGGTCCCTCTCAGCTTGGGCCCTCAGGGATCTTTCCTTGGAGCTCAGAATAGGCCATGGCGAAACAAGCCCCAAGAGGAAGGGGAAAGACATGCTATTTCCCAAAGACAGGCTTCTCCAAGTGAAGCCCAGGGTGCCCCAAAGGAGTCCAGTCCTCCTGTTGCCACTGTGGCCAGCAGCTGCTGTGAATTCATCTTTTATTGCCAGGCCACCAACCATACTGTGAGACTGAGCAATCCTCCTTAGACCTGTGGCTGTTTAGAGAGTGGGCATTTTACCCTGTGTTCTGCTTCTGCAAGCTGATGAAAGAAGCAGACTCAGACCTCAGACACAGAGATCTGAGTTAATTTTAACAGAGAGTAATACTAAGTGCAGAGCCTTCCTGCCACCCAGAACCTGGCCTCATATCCACCCCTCTCCTCACAGGTTCTCTGCCTAGCTGCTCCATCTATTGGAGTTTAGGGCACATTCAGTTCCCACCAATACAACCTATCATCCCCTATTCCATCAGAACATGTCCCTCCAAAGCTGTCATCATCACGTTATCATCGTACCTGTTCATCGAGTGCTATGTGCTGTCCCCACTGTTATGCTCTGCCTTTGCTCATCATGGAGGACATACCTCTGTGTCCTCTTTAAAGAGACAAAAAACTGATGGGCACTGAAGCTGGGTGCCCCACCACAAAGGGCCTGGAGACTGGCTGAAGATGCCTTCATAGCTTCAAGGTCGCATATCCCGAAAACATGCAGCTTCTTGGACTTCTGCACCTGTGACCCAAAACAGAGTGCCCTTTTCGCCTGGAGGGCCAGAATCCACAGTGGCATTTCTTCAGCTGAGATGCAGAGCAACGTCAGAAGTAGCCAAGAGTCTAGATGGGCTTAGAGCTCAAACAGGTGCTGTTGGCCAGACCAGGACCCTACCCCAACCAGATACATTAGCGCTTCAGGCCTCAAGCCAAGGCCAGACTACATCAAGGAGCTGGACATGCCCACTACTAGGTGTGGAAGGAAAGGAGGGTTGTCTCAGAACAGAGGTGAGCCCAGAGCAAGCATATCCATACTACAAGGCCAGCATTTAGAGGGCAGCTAATCAGACATTTGCCCAGTGGCAACACACAGGCCGGAGTGTAGCTCCCTAAGTCTCTACCTGGATCCTCCAGGGCAGGAACTGTACATACTTGTCATCATTCTCTTGTCAGTCAGGGTTCTGAGTCCCATGAGGACTACATCTCTCACAGGTATCTCTTTTTGCCACGCAGTGACTCCCAGATCAGGCGAGCCTGCCCTCAGGACCATTGGCTATGCACTGGCGGCCTCAGGCCAGTGCTGGACAGTTGTTAATGGTGAGGGAGGGAGGCGACAGGATACAGTTGGGATCACCCCTCTTTTCCTACGATAAGTCATTCTATATTAGCCTTCCCTCTAGCCCCAGTGCACATGTGCTACATGACAAAGGTCTACTGGCCCCACTGCTCATAGACATCAGGCTGCAGGGCAAACTTGATGGTTTCTGGTTTACGTGGAGTCACTCAGGCAGGCACCCTTTTGTAAACCATTACAGCCCTGTCAGCTTTCTTCTCCCATAGCCTTCCTGGCCTAGAGCTCCTTTGAGCCATTGTGGGTGAACATCTGCACCGCTTAATTCTTCCAGGGCTAGGTGTGCATCTGAGATCCTGGGCTGTCAGAACCCCTTTAGGGAAGCTGCCCAGACCCATTTCCAAGCTTCCTATTCCCTGATACTTCTTTGGTGGCTTTTTATGGAGAAGGTGCTTTTTTTGGCAGAGAGGGGAAGGTGCAGGGAGCCTTAGCACCAAGAAGCTCATGCTGCATCTTGTAGAGAGTGTGGGTGAGTGGGCCTGTTCTTGGGATGGCTCAGGCTCTCTGAGGAGGCTATTTGGTGAAAGCCATCTGATGCTCATTAGATGCAGAATTATTTCCTCCTTTCAGGCAACAGCTAAGTGTCTTGCCTGCAACTCAATCGTTGGCACACCCCTCCTTCCTGCCACCAGCAATCAACAATACCGGGAGACTGGGCAGTTCTCCTCAGAACTGAGGCTGTTTAGACAGTGGAGTTTTACCCTGTGTTCTGCAAGCCCACACCAGTTCCTGAGCAATGAGGAAGATGATGATGATGGATGGATGTCACAATCTTATCCCTGGAGAGCTGAGGGGGCCCAGCCCTTCTGGCCACATCCTTTTCAAAGGACAGACTCTAGTTCCTTCCCTTCCAAAGCTTCTCAGCTCCCATTAGGCCCTGAAATTCCCCTCTCTGTGTCTAGACCAGGAAGAATCCAAACCTCAGGCTCAATGTAGCTACTATGGCCTGAGAACAAATCCAGTGACAGCACCTGGATTGTGAGCTGCTTCTCTGCTGCTAATAGCCCAAAGGGGAGAGTGGAGTTGCCTGGCTCCAACAGAGAAAGGACATATTTCTTTTTGCTGGTATTTGTTCTCTAGGAGGAGCTGGCCAAGAGAATTCACATGTCCACTGCTGCTTCTGCAGAGTGGCACCCTCAGACCCCAAGGTCCAGCCATCATTCCTCTCTCCTCCTGAAAAATCTGTCATCCCAACTGTGGCTGAGGGGACAGTATTCTGGCAGTAGACTCCTTCTTTAACACAGAAGGGCACTCTGTGCTTCCTTTTATCCTGGGCCCACTGCACCCTGCATCCATGGCACGTGGGTGCTAGGAACTGGGGTTCTCTAGATGCCAAAGGGCACTCATGGGCTCCACAGCCCTCCCTCCTCCTGTTAGGAAGCAGTGAGTCCAGCTGAATCTGGGCTGCAGTTTCTTCCAACAGGTACCTGTCTTTGCTCCCTGCTTTTCCTACTGAGCCTGGGCAGTAGGAGAGCTGACTCTAGACTTTGGCAAGGAGCTCTATGTCCTGTGTTCTCTCTATATTCTCTCATTCTCATCTCTACTCTTCTGTCCTGTTTTCTCTTCTCCTCTGGGCGGATCCCAGAGGCTGCAGCTGTTCACTCCTTGCTGCACATTCAGCTGTCTCATCCTGAATACTCTTTAGATATAAGCTCACTCTGTTGCCCTCCTCTTAAGCAGCTTCAATCCCTGGGCAGTCTCCCCTGTGGGCCACAGTGCCTTGCTTGGCCAGTGTTTTTAGTTCCAGGTGCTGGCATGCCCCACACGTGTGCTGGATACATGGTGCACACTGGAGAAGCCACAGGCTGTACTTCTCCCAGAGGGTGGCTCAAGAAGTAACCTCCCTTCATGCCATCTGTTTCCACCCTTCAGCTGTGCCAGCAGCCCCCAGCAGCTGGAGTCTGGATAGCGGAGCCCAAGAGGCCCAGCCCTTCCTGTCTGCCCATATGGGGCGCATCCTGGCCCCCCCAGTGCCTCCCCGAAGCCTGCTGCATGGTAAGAAGACCTCCAGCGGGTCCCCAATAGTCCCTGGTCTCAGACTCTGCTCAAGGGCCACAGCAACAACCATCTAAGCTGAGAAGATTGGCCATTCTCTGGGCCGACTCAGCCAAAGCAAAAACACCCCCACCACAGGAAGGATCCTGCTGGGCTTTGGGGTCAGTGAGGTTTCTGAGTACAGCAGGTTAGCTCAGGAAGGCCATCCCAACTAGAAGGCTGAAGACAATGGAATTGACTTTGCCAGGCACACTTCTCACCAGACTGTTTCATCGCCTAGCAGTCGGCTACAGCTGCCGCTGCCTGAGGCCTGTTCCACAGACTCTGAAGCACTCAACTTTTCTGACTTCCTGTGTGGAGTGGGTTTCTTCTACCCCAGCAGCCTGTGTTTTGGAGAAGGCCAGTGTAAAGAGAGGTTTATCCATAGCCCTCAATGCTGAGGGGTCCCCAGGGGACTCTTCTCATGCCTGCCCAGTTGGCCCAGCAAGATGGTGCTGGCATGAAGCCTGTGCAGGGCCCCCAGCTGAGGCTCTGGTTCTGTTCCCTTTGCAGGTCATTACTCCCTACACTTTGACGCCTTCCACCACCCTCTGGGTGATACCCCCCCAGCCCTCCCTGCCCGGACCCTGCGCAAGGTAATGTACTGAAGCGGCAGCCCCACCAGGCTGTGAGATGAGTCATCTTGTCTGCTCTAGAACCACCCTTGGGGTCTACAGGAGGAACTGGAGCCCTCCCCTTCACCTCTCTCCCCAGCCTGGCAGAAGCTGGGGGTGGCCAGAGCCACACTTGAGCTGCAGTTGCACACTTGTGTCCTGCAGCAAATGTGATGGGGGCAGGGAGATCAGAGGGTCCTGGAGACAACAACACACAGTTCCAAGAGTGTGTGGGCAGTGAGCACTGGGAAACCTGGGGGCTGTCAGCCAGCACCAAGGTATCAACACACCATAGTTCGCTAGCTAAACAAACGTTCCTGTGGTGGATCAGAGAGCATTTCAAACTAGAATTCAGTAAAAGAAAGAACTTTATGAAAAACTCAGGAGAGTAAAATTTCCTACCTGTTAGTTTGTCTGCAAATTGGAAAAGACTGAGTCTATCACAGATTTTAGCAGCAGAATACATTCCTCTAGTCCATGGCCCACCAGGGTTCTTTTTGTCCCCCTCAACAGGCCTGATGACCCAGCCTTTATGTCAGTATCCCAGAGCCACCGACGGCAGCCTGGGACCTGGGACCAGGGGGCACCAATGCCCAGCAGCCAGGGCAGGGCCATTTTTTGGCCACTGAAATGCAGATGATTCTGGAGTTCCACTGGCTTACTTCAGGGTGGTGGGAGGAGCTGGGAGCTTGCTGCTGAAGAAACAAGAAACATGCTGTTGGTGAGGGTTAAAGTTCATTCATAAGCAGGCTCTTGGTCTTCCCATGGCGGGCAAGTCAGCCTGTCTGGAGAGAGGGATTCTAACATGCCCACCCTTTCCTTCACAGTCTCCTCTCCACCCTATCCCAGCCTCCCCAACAAGCCCCCAGTCAGGTCTGGACGGCAGCAACTCTACGCTGTCCGGCAGTGCCAGCAGCGGCGTGTCCTCCTTGAGTGAGAGTAACTTTGGGCACTCCTCGGAGGTCCCACCTCGCACTGACACCATGGACTCCATGCCAAGCCAAGCATGGAATGCTGACGAAGATCTTGAGCCACCCTACCTCCCTGTCCACTACAGCCTCTCTGAGTCTGCCGTCCTGGACTCCATCAAGGCCCAGCCATGCCGAAGCCACTCAGCCCCAGGGTGCGTCATCCCTCAGGACCCCATGGACCCGCCTGCGCTGCCGCCCAAGCCCTACCACCCCCGCCTGCCAGCCCTGGAGCACGATGAGGGGGTGCTGCTGCGTGAAGAGACTGAGAGGCCTCGAGGCCTGCACCGCAAGGCTTCATTGCCTCCTGGGAGCGCTAAGGAGGAGCAGGCCCGCATGGCTTGGGAGCACGGCCGAGGGGAGCAGTGAGGGGCAATGAGGCGGCTGGGATGCCGCCCTCAGTAAGCAGCTTGCCAACCACTCCAGGTCTGAAAAGCAAGTCCCCCAGCCTGACCCCAGGGAGCCAGAGAGGCTTGGCACTCAGGAGAGAACCACCCCAAGTCTCCATTCTACTGCCGTGAACTCATGTGTTGCCATGTACAGAGGCCACAGCAGCATGAAGGGTTGTGGCTTCCCTTTTTATTTTTTTACATTTCCATTTCTATGGGTTTTCCTTTCTTTCCTTTATGCAGTAGATGCTTTCTTCCTCCTGCAGTTCTGGACCACGTGGAGCTATATGGAGAAATTGCACAGACAGAATCACTTTGCCACACTGCAGGGCCCAGGAGCAGGAGCCCAGGTCCTCCCTCCAGGGTAGAGATGCACAGAATGGAAATTGCACTAAGGACCTCTTCCTTTGCTGTATGGACAGAAGAGTTCATGGTTGCATTCAGGGATTGCAAGGACCATATAGACATGTCACAGGTGGAAAAAGGGCCACAAGCCGTTTTGCACAAATGCCTGTCCACCTGCCCCTCTTCCATCCAGGAGTGTGCTACTGAGGGGCTGGCTGGACCAACCTGCTGGCTCAGGCACGTGACTGGCCTAACTGCATGCCCAGGGAACTGCCAGGGTTCAATGGGCCAGCCATCTCCTACTCCATCTTGGATTTTTCTCTCCATCACATTATTTCTGACCATTTGCTCCCTTCCATTCTTGAAACACCTCATGCCCCACAGGAGCCCCAGTGGTGACTGGATCTGCAAGGGTTCTCTCTCACCCTCTGGGGTTTGAGTGGAAGTATGGAGCCAGAGGGGCTATCCTAGCCACCTTCCTCCTAGGGGGAGCTGGTCCCCTTCCTAAGTGGTAGAGACTGGTGTTAAGAGTGAGTCTGGGGTGTGGCAGGCGCCAGAAATCCTCGAAGCTTTCAGAAGCGTTCAGAATGCCTACCATCAGCTCCTGAATCAGGGATTTTCAGCACTACCTCTGAGCCATGGGGGTGGCTGCCTAGCCAGGCTTCCAGGCCCTGAGGACATGTGGTCAGGTTCAGCAGGCTCCTTGGTAAAGAGGGTGGGAGGGGGCTTCTCCTTTTGGAAGCAGATAGCCATGCAGGTAGAATTGTCATCTCCCAAGTGGCCACATACAGCAACCCGCTCCAGGCCATGGGGACCACCACTCAGGGTTTGGGGCTGGCAGGAGGGCAGTTTCTCCAGTCTCCCCAGTCTGTTGGTGTCTTTATAGGAAACTATAAAGCAGAGCAGTGGTGTCTTTAGAGGAAACTCATTCAAGTCAGGGCACTGATTTTCCTCTCAGTTTATTATTTGGGGGGATCGGGTCAGGTGGGTATAGTAGTACTTCACCAGGGTGCTTTTAAGTTACTTTAAAAAAAAAAAGCCTACAAAATATTTCTTTTCTTTTATTTGCTCAAGTTCACATTAATGATGGTCACAAGGCTGCCTTGTTGGGCAGGCATGTTGCCCCCATTTCCTCTTCTGCTGGCCTTTGTGACCTCCACAGCCAGGCCCTGGGCCCGAGCCCCTCGTCCCTTCTCCACTGCCCCTATTTCCAGACAGTAAAGGCCATGGTCAGGGTGTTTTTCACTTGTAAACAAACCCCAGCTTGTTTAACAGAAATGCTAATAACCTACTGGGAAAGATGGAGGTCTAAATTACCTTCAGGGTTTTTCTGGGGCTTTATCATCAGTGTGGGTCCCTTCTGATACCATCAGGCTCACTCCAGGCAGAGTGGGGCAGAAGGCTGCTGAGGATGTGGGTCAGTCACAGCAGCCCTCACCTCAAAGGGCTCGCCTGCTTCTCAGCCTATATTTATTTGCAAGCTTCAATCTCTGGACCATCTGGTGTTCACAGGTGTTAGAGGGTCGGGGCTAGCTTCAGATTTGATTCATAGGTAGGAGGGCTTAGATTTTAAGGCACTTCTGAACGTCAATCCCTGGACAAGGCAGTCATCCCATAAGAACAGCTACCTTCTCCACTTTGTGGCACAAGAGGTAAGGAGGGGAGTATGGGTTCATTTGGCTTCGCATTATGCAAGTTGAAACCGTTTGTTTCCCCTTTCCATTTTCCCTAACTGAATGAAAAGGACACATTCTGAAATCCCTTTTGTTGGAGAATTATTCAGTCTGAGGGGAAATGGGAGGCCAGAGATGAGAACCCTTTGAGAAGATTGTAAAATACTGATTTTCATTCTTTCAAGCTTATTTGTAAATACCTATTTGAATGCTGTGTATTTGTACAGGAATTTGAGCAAAAAATGTATAGAGTGTGATGTCCAATTGGTATTCAGCACTATAAATGTGTTTTTAACCTCACGCATTCTGTGCTTATTTAAAACAAGAAAACTTCTAACCATTCTTTTGTGTATTCATGTTTAAAGAAAACAAGTGATTTAAAAATGATCTTACCTGTACCAGAAAAGCAAAGTTAAAGGAAACAAAATTTGTACCATTGTCCCAAGAGGTATTTTACTGTATATATTGTGGTAGCATGTTCAAAATCCAACAAGTAATGTGAATTTTAGATGTAAATATCTGCCACTTGATTTTTTCCCCCTTTCCCCACTTCCTTGACTGCTGTGATGTGAATTAAAGATGAATATCTGATAATGATCCACTGAATTCACTGAATGGGAGCGGAGGATGTGCCCCTCTCCAACCCTTGTCGCCGGGCTCCAAGCCCTTTTTAGCCCCATAGACATGTCCTTTTTGCACTGAGTAGAGCCAACCCTTCCCCAACGCAGGAAGCCAGGGGGGCACCTGAAAGGAGGGCAGTCGAAATGGAAACATCCTCCAGTGCTTCTCTGCTGATCCCCGGGACCCCATTCAGGAGGCCCCTCAGCAACAGGGGACCCCGAAGGCCTAGCGGGGAGGCAGGAGAAGGCGGGCCAGCCACGCTTCTGAGCTTGTAAGGGCACCTCCCGAGCCCCTCACCTTCCCACGCTGAGGCGACCCCATATCCTCGACCGATGATCCGGCCCGGGCGCTGCCCTCCACGGTCTAGAGTGGCGACCCAGCTTTGAGATTGGCGCGCCTTGAGCCCTTCCTCCGGATGTCCCGCAGTCCGTCCACCCCGCACGTCTCCTGTCAGCCTACGCACGGCGGGCTCCGGTCAGGTGGAGGTTCAGCAGATGGGCTTCCAAAGGTTGGGTCCGTTGCCCACGCGTAGGAAAGAAGAAAAAAGGGAAGAAACTTTTTTGAGTCTTGCCTGCGGTCGCCCGCCCTCCCTGCCTAACCTGCTGTCTTGGCTGACCCCAGAACAACTGCGCCACGAGTCGGAGTCCAGGCGAGGAAATCCGCAGGGTTTTTCGAGCAAGCCTGGGGCCCAGAGCAGGGGTACGCGGGTCAACTCAACAGATATAAGGCAGTGGCGAACCCCATTTCAGCTAGCGGTACCCAGCCTCAGTAGAGTCGCTGCCCTAACCCAATATGGCGGCCCACACCGCTTCCGTCGCTGCTGTAGCCGCTTCCTGCGGCCGGCCCGGGTTCAATCAGCGGCCGACAACTGTCTAGGGCTCAGACACCACCAGCCAATGAGGGAGGGTAGCGTGGAGCCGCCCGTCTGGGCTCCACGGCTTATGGACCAATGGAGATGTGGCGTGTGGGAGGGCGCGGAGGGCCCCCCGCCAATGGGGAGCTACGGCGCGCGGCCGGGACTTGGA